TAGTACACTATTATCATCATCATCATAATAATAATAATATTATTATTATTATTATTATTATTATTACTTTTTTCCACCTTTACCTCGCCATCAGAAACGTGAGCGCCCCTGCTACAGCTAATCAAGCCACAAACAACACCACGTAAGCCTACGACACAAGTTGTCTGGGCCACAGGTGTGACTTTCTCGCTCTCTAGCGGGTCTCGCGCCACATAGAGCGTCGTTGTGTGTTCATCTCTTTCAGAACACATGTATGAGACATCGAGGTGAAATCAAGGGCTCGTCAGAATAATCATAATAATGAAATCAAAGAAACTGTCATTTTTCTCTGTCCGGTTTTTTTTGTTTTTTTGGTGGTATTTTAAATTCAATTTTTGCTTTTTGACTCACCTAAACACCTTCAGCGTCCATTAAAAATACTTTTATGTGTGGGTTTTACGGGAAAAAAAAGTTGATTTAAGGCATGAAATGTAAATTTGCAATTTCTAAGGACTCTCAAGGATTGGAAGTCGCCAAACTTTAGCAGCCATTTTCTGGCTAATTTTATTCTGAAACCAGGTGACCTCCCCCTCCTTCAATCACAAATATCTCGACTTCTATTCTTGATAGATCAGTATCCCCCCCACCCCACCCCAAAGCAGGACAAATGAACAAGCTTTAAAATGAATCCCTTGGACAAAAAAAGATAAAGAAACACAAAGTCATTGATCGCCGAGGACGATTGTTTCTAGAACAATCCACGCCACGCACGACTGAGCGGAAAGACAACACAATCAACAATTGTGAGGCAGCGTGGTGAAATCAGTCGTACGTTAAAATAATCAAAGTGAACAAACTGGCATTTTTCCGCGGGTTTGTGAATGTTTATCGACTTGTTTTCTTCTTTGAGTCAACACCTTTCATGCCCATTAAAAAACACATTTAAGTGTGAATATTACTGAAAAACGTTGATTAAAGGCACACAAATTTACATTTTCAGTTCCCACGGCTTCTCAACCTAAGGAAACAAACCATCTTTGGCGGCCTTTTTTCTCCCCAATGTGACCTCTCAAACTAGGAGACCCCCACCTCCTTCATCATTCGCAAATGTCTCGACTTGTATTCAAGATAAATGGATATCTTTTTTCATCCAAAGCAAGACAAATGAACAAACTTTAAGATGATACCTATAACTCTACATGCCCAACAATTGACGAGAGCCTGATTCCACCGCGACATGACACAATTTCAAGGACTAGAAGGACTCAGTCGGTTGTTACGGTTCAGTGACATCTGGGGCTTGGGTATCC